TCCCTTCCACTTCCAGACCAGTGCAAATGCCTACCTTTATGGATACTGGTCAAATCCCCAACACGATTAGATAACAATACCTAATATTGCCACGGAATTGCATGCACCCAACTAACATATGATAGCACTGTATACAATGTCTATATTTCTGTCTTGTGCCAGAGCTAAATATGTTATTATATTTAAAGTTAATGATCTAATTTCCATTTTGTAGGGATCACTTCATTTCATGTCCTACAGTCAGAATGGCCGACCACTGGTCCAGTAACTCCAAGGGTCATGTCTTCATGTACTACGCTCCTGAGACTTACACACAAAGCAGGTAAGAACATGCAGTGTTGATGATCAATGGATACATATCCAATGTTAATATGTTGTAAAATTATGCCAGTGTAGCTTTTATTTTGCTTTCTTACTTAGACCAGGCCAAGCATAGAAGGAACATGTAAAAATATATGCAAATTATTCTAAATATAGCCATTTATGAGTAAGTCATGCAGCCGTTCTCCTTGCGAATCTCTGTAAACGTTCGTTCTGTGCGAATATCAGTATATTTTCTTTTCAAATTGAATATAATATCAGAAAAATACAGCATTACAACCCCAAGGTGGAGATGAGTAGCATACAACATAAATACAAATTTTTCTGTGCTCCTCAAATCCATCTAGAAGCCACAATGTGGTATTTTCCAAATGCTACACTCAACCTCGAAAAGAAAGTATACTACGAATGTTCCATTTCCCCTCTATTCGCACAGAACAAAAAATCACATTGATTTGAGTACTGATATTTTGCTTTCGGTATTCGCCGATATCGAGTACTGATACCGGTGTTTCTGCTTGCATGGAGCTGGCTACCCGGGCAATCTGATTGCCCGAAAAGCTGGCTCCATGCTGTTTGGCCGGCTTCAGTAATGACCTGCTTCCCAGCTTCATGTTGGCTGGGGACCGGGCTTGAAGCTGATTGACTGTAAAGCTGGGTTCCCAGCCAATCAGCATCAAGCCAGGTGCTCGGCCGGCTTGACTCTGATTGGCCGGGAAGCCGGCTTCCATGCCAATCAGCAAGGAGCTGACTATTCAGACGGCTCAATGCTGATTGGCCAGGCAACCAGCTTCCTGGGCAATCAGCATGGAGTTGGCTTCCTGGCGGGTCATTACTCGCCGCCCAGCTACCTGATCGCATGGGAAGCTGGCTCCATGTTACCCTACGGCACTGCCGGTCAGAGGAAATCTTCCTCTGACCAGAAGTTCCTATATCGGGGAAGGTATTGGAGCATTTGGCGAGTACAAGTACTCACCCAAATACTCGGTATCGGCACCGATATCGATCCTAGTATCGGTGCAGTCCTACTTTAAAGCTGCCCGACTTAATGGGACTTCCAGTATCCGTATTTGATATCGGTGAGTACAGAAAAAAAGATGTTGGTACTCGTAACTTGATCTAAAAAAACGGTATCGGTGCATCACTAATACTTAGCCTCTTGTCTAGAGTTCAGCTTTAAAGGAGAACTATGGGGTTAAGGCTTTTCTCCATAGTTCTCCTTAGGGTAACGGGAGGACACAAACTAGCGTCCGCCCGTCACCCTAAGCTCAGTATACCGCAAGCTGCAGCTCCCTGTATACTGAGATGCCGCAGCTGAAGCGGATCCCGACAATTATGTCTGGATCAGCCCAGCTGCGTGAGTGACAGCTGGCTCTGCCTATCTAGAGGCAGAGCCAGCTGTACCCGCCCCTCCTCCGTCCGATCTGCCAGTCAGCGCTGGTGGATCGGAGCGGGGAATCCAGCCCCTCCCCTGTCACGGCAGAGGGCTGTGACAGGATCGAGAGGTGAGCGAACTCCGGTATGTGTTCGCTCACCTCCCGATATACTGAGCCGACCTGTGACAGTCTCATTGTCACAGGTCGGCTAGAACTATGAGGCGAGTGAAAAGCGCTCACCTCATAGTTCTCCTTTAATGTTGTATTCATAAATACTGAGCTGTATGGAAATTATTGTCTGTCTTTTATATCTGCATGAAAAAAAAATGAGACGTATTAAAAAGTTGAAAACTGGATAGAAACCCCTTTTCTTCTTTGTTTTATAAACTACAAAAAAGAAAGCAGCACACCCCGCTTTGTCAATGTGTTTAGATTACAGGGTCTTCCAAAGAACACATTTCTGTTTCTTTTGGCAAGATATTAAATTCCATCTAGTGACAGCTGAAAAGAGACATTATAAATATTACATGTCTCTACTGGCTCAGCATTGCAGACAAACGTTGTACAAAAGATCCTTGTGAGAATTAAAGGGACACTCCGGTCAAGATGGACAATTGAGAAAAAAAATGCATTATATAGTCAAAAGAATGTGGACACTCCAATTTTAAATGGTCCTTCCAGTATGGGTTCTGGTAATGCTACAGCATACAAAGACATTGTAGACAATTGTGCTCTTCCAACCCTGTGGTAACAGTTTGGTGAAGGTCCTTTTCTGTTCCAGCATGACTGAACCCCTGTGTACTAAGCCAGTTTCATAAAAACATGGTTTGATGGGTCTGGTCTGGAGGAACTTCATTGTCCTGCACAAAGCCCTAACCTCAACCCTACTGAACACCTTTAGTATGAATTGGAACGCCAACTGTGATCTAGGTCTTCGCATCTAACATTAGTAACTGACAAATGCTCTTTGGGCTCAATGGACACAAATTCCCAAAGGCACAATCCAAAATCCTGAGGAAAAACCTTTCCAGAAGATTGGAAGCTGTTATAGGCGCAAGCTGGAGGGAAGGGGACTCGGTTGTAAATTCCATGTCTCTGCAATGGGATGTCCAACAGGTTCATTTAGGTGTGATGGTCAGGTGTCCACAGATGTTTGGCCGTATAATGTACAATTAGGGAACATACCAAACTTCTCAGTTTTTATGATTTTCATGGCAACTGTGAGCCAGATCTTCTCATCCAACATCAGTCACTGACTTCACAAATGATCTTTTGGCTCAATGGACATACATTCCCAAAGATATCCTTTATAAATCCTGTGGAAAAGCCTTTCCAGGAGCTTGGAAGCTCTTTTTGTCGCAAGGTGGAGAGGAGGGGACTCGGTAACAAAGTCCATGTCTCTGAAATGTGATGTGCAATAGGTTTATATAGGTGTGATGGTCAGGTGTCCACAGATGTTTGGCCGTATAATGTACATTTAGGGAACATACCAAACGTCTAAGGTTTTTTGATTGCCATGGAAGTTATTGAGTCTATCGGGCTGGTCTGCTGTATAAAATCCCCTGGTAGTGTGTGTTTTTGGAACACCATTGCTCATCCTTTGATTATGTAACTCCACCAATCTCAGCAGTTTCATAGAATGCACTCCTTAAAGTGGAGACCTGTGACAGCTGTTGAAAACACATTCTTGCATGTGTTAATAGAAGTTTTCAAAGAAAATTTGGTTGGAAAAAGGACGTAAGAAATGAATTAAAAGTTCATAAGTCACCTTTAGCTCATTTACTTTTTCAATTTTGCTTGAGTTCTCAAGTGAAAAAAGTCATAATAATCTCTATATCATAGTCATAATATATCTATATATTTAATAATTATCCTGAGGAATGGTTTAAAAAAAAAAAAACAATCACGGTACAATATAACAAGACATAGGAAATGCACAGCGGTTCTATCATTAAAAGAGAACTATGGCCCAACTTGTTTTGGCCGCAGTTCTCGTAATGGTCACATAAGTCCTCCTGTGGCTCAAAACTCAGCATTTAGTGGGCTATTGCCCGCTATATGCTGACAGCGCAGAGCCACACTGCAGCTGGGAAAGATCCCGACAATATTGTTGGGATCTACCCCTCCACCTGATTGACAGCTGGCTCTGCCTATCTACAGGCAAGGGCGGCTGTGTCCGCCCCCTCCAGTCAGCGATGGAGGAACGGAGAAGGGAGGGGGGAATCCCTGTGGAGGTAGTGACTGACAGTCACCGCTCTCTGCTGGAAGAAGATCAGGAACTGATCGATCATTTGTATCTGATTGCTCTGGATCAATAGGTACAGTGTCACGTGTCTTCCAAATTGCTCCCGATGCCAATCCCGATACCGGAACTTCCGGTATCAAGAAGCCGGGCAGTGAATCATTACATGCTGCCCGGCTTCCTTAATGGGATATCCGGTATTGATATTCGGTATCGGCGAGTACTGAAAAAAAAATCAGTACTCGATACTGAAAAACCGGTATCAGTGCATCCCTAATAAATATATATAAATATATGCTGCACAGGCCATTTCTGATTTAATATTATCGAAAATTACCTTTCTATTTAAAGCTGCAGCTGCTGTAATTTTCTAAAACTCTAAAAAATGCAATGCAATATGGCGACCTGGAGGCATTCTGTAGACAGTTGGTATATAGAGTGCCCCCACAAATGTCACTGCCTGCTTCTATGATTGGCTGGCTGATTTTTCCAAAAGTCTCCCCTAAGATACAACTAAAATTTTAGGCATCCCTTGCACTAGGACTTTCATTCTTGGTGAGATATTCACTAAGGGTTACTTAGTACTAAAGGAATACACTGCAGCTTTCTTCATTACAACACAGAATGTCCACCAGCTGATTAAAATGAACTCTGATCCTCCCATTTAGGATTAAGGGCCCGTTCACACCAGTTGCAGTGCGTTCCGGCCTGATTCTGGCCAGAACGCACTGCCTCGCATTGCGGCCGGCTCACTTTTTATTGGGCAGGAGGGGGCGTGGTGGGCCATTGAAGTGAATGGCACCGTAGCCACACCCTCTGGCCGCAATGCGATCGCCCGCATGGGATCGCAAGGCACTTTGTGCATGCGGTCCAGTGCGATCAAAATGCTGCAAGCACTATTTTGATCGCACCGCACCGGCCCGCAGGCACAATGTGCCTTGCGATCCTGTGCGGGTGATCGCATTGCATCCAGAAGGCATGGCTAGGGTGCCATTGACTTCAATGGCCTCCTGCCCCACTAAAAAGTGTGCTGGCCGCAATGCAAGGCAGTGTGTTCTGGGCAGAATCGGGCCAGAACGCACTGCAACTGGTGTGAACGGGCCCTCAGTCTGCAAAGGACACAGAGAGCCAAGCAGCTGAGCAGGAAGGATTCATATTGCAGAAAGGACATATTATGTCTATTTTGCAATAAAGGCTTCTTACCTTCACTCTCGCAAGATGCTTCAGAATATATTCTCGAGATGCCACAGTGCTGGGATGAATGAACTCCCATGTTCATGCCTGGGCGTTACATCATGCCTGGGCGTTACATCATCCAGCCAATCAAGATGGCAGAAGACCCTGACCCTGGAAATTGTCAGTGCTGGCACGGGAGCTCGTGGACGTTGTATCGTTGGAGGGGAGGCGAGTATTGAAAGGTTTAGTTCCGCTTTAAACTTTACCTATAAACTGGATATAAAATATAAGGGATAAGATATTGAATCCAGATTTTAGATTCAGCTTTCTGTCAGCCGGGGTATCCTCAGTGGTCCCCGGAGTAATCTAAATAACGTGAGAAGGATGAGAGTGCCAGGGATATATTGTGAGTCCAGTAAATCTTTATTGCACATGATGGAAGCTCACAAGAAAAGCCAACACATTTTGGGGGTTTGCCGGGCTGTTAGTTTGAGTTGATCTGCCGATTCACTATTCCAGATATCATGAGCACATCCTTCTCACATCTAGGAGAATTGTCATAGGAACAGGGTTTGGAGGATTAACCCTCACGTCTTGCTTTGATGACAACTCAACATTTTTGGATTTCACATCACTTTCTGTCCCAGTGACAATTGCTCACCAGTACAAACAGCACAAAAACCCTGATGAAAGAAGACCAATGGGCCCACGAAACACATTTCATTTTCTTTGTGACCTTCTGCCATGCGCAATAACGATTTTCTGATCTCAGATTATATCTCTTGTTTCTTCATCCTTCTCACATCTTGGAGAATTGTCATAGGAGCAGGTGTCCTATTTGGAGGATCACCCTTCACCTCTTGCTCTGAAGGCAACTCAAAATTGTGGGGTTTCCCATCACTTTCTGTCCCAGTGACAATGGTCACCAGAACAAACAGAGAGGGTGAATCTCCCCACCAAGGGCACAGACAGCAATACAAACTTGGCAAAGGATCTAATCCTTCCACACTCTATCCAAAAGTAATAAAGAAAATTGCTTTTAAATACACTTGAATTTTCCCTAACAACAGTAGTGTGTTGTATCTTGTTGGTCATCAAGTAAGTAAACATGTAGACAATACATTTTGTTGGTTAAGTGTATATTTTTGTATTTTTTCAGTTCCGGCGTGGATCTGCCTGAAGATGTCATTTACGCTTTCGGAATTCCATTTCACTCACTTTATAGAAATCAGTTTTCTTATGAGAAGAGGAAGCTTTCCTTACAGATCATGCAGTACCTGGCTAACTTTGTGAAGACAGGGTGAGTACTGTGCTACAGTTACCTGCTGCCATTCCCATTCCAATGGAGATTGAAGGGGACATATGAAGAGATCCTGAACTGATAGATAATGATGAGTGAATGGGTCTGGGTTCAGTTCGCTTAAATGTTCACCAAATCTAGCCAAAAATCTGGGTTTGCAAACATCCGTCCTTTGCCATTAGTTTTGCTTGACTGATTTGGTGCAGTGACGCATGGGGGGTCTCAGCTGTCGTTGTGATGTGCGGGGTCCCTTGTGTGTTCTTGTGCCTTTAAGGGAGGTTAGGCTTCCTCCTGACAAACCTGCACCCAATTTAATATTTTGCCCCATGTGCTCCAAGATGAAGACTCTCATAGTTTAGAGTTAGGACCGCACTATAAGAGGTGCCTTGATGTGGCTGTGCGGCTTTCACATTTTCTGCAGAAGACGTGTATCTAAACCTCTGCTTTTTAACCTTAGCGGTTAGACAGTTTTTTTTTGCATGCTGGCTGGTGAGTGTGCTGCGAAACTTTTTGCTGTTTTAATGTATGATGAGCTTTCATGCATTGCATCTATGTAGTGTTTGTATAAGTGAGCTTATCGGATAATTCAGTTCAGAAGGACTTCAGTATACAAGATTCTATAAAACTCTAAGCGATATTCTTATATTACTTCGCTTTGCAGAAACCCCAACTTTCCGTACGCTTACTCAAAGAAAAGGAACGTCGCATTACCACCATGGCCTGAATATCGGACACAAAGTGGCGGCAGAAAATTTAAAGAGTTTACCAAGAGCCTGCGGAGTGGACAGGATCTGAAACACACTGAATGTTCTTTCTGGAACGATTACGTCCCAGCACTTAAACTGTCTACAAGTAAGTTGAACAACACTGTGATCAAGGAGGTAGCAGATGTTGTGTTGGTTTATGTTGTGTGTTTTACAATTCGTCAGAGATAGAAATGTAATGAACGCAGATGTCAGGGAAGTGAAATTGGGCTACAAAGAGGAGGAAAATTGAAAAAAATTGCTAGGTAAAGTAGGCCTCGGAGGAGAGAATCACAAAAAAGGGAACAAGGTAATATGTAGAGTTTCTCAAGAATACTACATCTGCCTTCTGTAGATCTGTTCTGGAGCAACCCGCCCCCCCCTCCCAACTACGTTCTAGCGTGCACCATCAGAGCCTCTTCTGCACCTCTAAAGACTCTCATCTGCTGCTCATTATGCATCTGAGATCGACACGTTACTCTCCAGAAGTATCTCATGTCCTTCAGGAAAAGTGTGTAAGAGTTTTCCCGCTCCAGGTGGCCTTGCAGCTCCCCAAAAACTGCGGGTGCACACTCATTCATGTCCATTCCTTCCTGAGATAGCTAAGCCCAAACTGATAGGACGCACTTCAGCTTGGTCTCTTTTCTTCCTTTGTATTCAAAAAGTTAAGGAAGTGCCTGAACATTGACCTTCATGGCAGGATCACCATTCTTTTAAAGTGGTATTAAAGTCTTCTTTTTTTTTGCATATATATTGCTAGCAATCAGTAGATAAATGCCACAACATTTTAAAAAAATCATCAAATAGACAATAACTTGCCTATCTCTGTCTGCGCCGCTCACTCGCGGCTGCAGAACTCAGCTTCTCTGAATGACCTTGCAGGAGGATGTGTGCACATTGCATGCACACTCGATATCACTGGCGGGGAGAGAAGAAGAGAGACACAGTGGAGGTGAATACATGCAGCCGTGAGCGTGCATGCCGGACAGACTCCGTGGGACAGAAAGAGACAGCAGTCTGCGCTGGATCAGAGGCCCGGTGTTCTATCGAAAGCTACAAACTCGTCAAAATCTCTAACTACCTCATTCCCGGGTACTTGCAAGTTGGAGATTTCGACCAGACGGCATTAGACTGCAAAACACAAAGACTGACGGAGCTCTGTACAGCTGCATTTTAACAATATTCAGCAGGTAGCAAACTCGATGAGTATTCTACAAATGCTATGCGCGCATGCGCACCGCAACTGTACAGAGCTCCAGTCTTTCTGAGCACCGGAAGTGAGGTAGTTGGAGATCTCGATGAGTTGGAGCTTTCAATAGAACACTGGCACAAGGGCTGGCGGGACTGCTGAAAACGACTGGGAGGAAGATGTTCGGATCAAGAGGCATCACATAAGGTAAGTCCTTACAGCAGCATTAGGGTGGTGGTGGT